AAGCGCGACTTAAGCCGCGCTTTTGTCTAACTATAATAAAACGTCGTAGGTGAGCTTCGTTGGTAACTAGGGTCGATGGTTTCATTCATTAGTCACAGTTGAACCCTGTGCTTTAGCATATATATGTGCGTCGAACGAGAAACTGCAGAGAGCTTCCGGAGCGAGGGAAGGGAAGGAAGGGACGTTAAAAAATAATAGCTCACCCGCGGTATCCACGGCACCCCAGGCACGTGCGAAACTTTAACGACTCTCGATCGGAGACGCGATGCCGAAGGGGGGCCTCATCGGGCCCTCCGTGTCCACTTGTGTGGCCTACCGCGCCACGAGATAATCCGTACTTCCGAGGGCGAGAAGAGTCGATGGCCGCCAATCGACGCAATAGCGATTGGCACGCCGCTGAGAGGTCGGAAATTAGGTCTCCCGTATCGTCGCGTGTGGCACGCGTGCGTGTCCCGATGCGTGCCCGGAGTGGCACGTGACAGAACGCAACTCGTACTGACTGCGTGTCAATAATGCGCCACGTTTCTTAATCGAAGTTTTGGAAATCGAAATGCGTTCCTGTTTTTGATATTGCTACAGCATGATCCAGTGTTCGTTGCTTTAATTTTTACATACGCGCATGCGATCATTTTTATTTACATATATTATATATATTTTTTTATTCGCACATTTATGTATGTTATGACAAATGTCATAAAATTATCTGCAATTGTATCATCGTGGTGATTTTATAAAAGTTCGGTAAACTCAGCACGGTGTTTAATTTTTTTGATTTTATAGAATCAATAATAAATAAAAAAAATAAAAGAAAAAGTCTCTCATGTAAGAATATTTTGTTTTAGCTTGTAATCGATAAATCGACGATCGACAATCGTGATTTTTCCGTCGACGACGACGTCCATCCAAACGCAACTGCCAATCCTGAGTAAATCAAATTGCTTCGCACATCACTCATATCATTTAATCGCGGCACGTGTACACCGTTTCGCGTCAGCCGGATTAACTGACGGAAGATGCGCGATCGTCCACCGTGATCGACGTCGACACGCAGGAGTGGCTCGATCTTAACATAGGGACGATCGTGCGTTTAATTGCCATTTCACGAGCCATTCCGTCTTTCTTGATAAGCAAGTCCGCCCACCAGTCACGGACATTCGCACGCCATCGTTTACCCCGTAAAATAGCTGATTCCCCCTCCCTTTCCCTCCTCTCTCTATTCTTCCAGAACGTGCGATCAATGTATCTATCTCTCTCATTCAGCCCTTCGCGTTCTCCCTTGTCCCTGTTATTCCTTCCTCGCCTCCTCTAGCGCTCTCTCGCACTCGCGAAAACGCTTTCCGGAGAAGTTCGATCTGCAAAGTTTGACGGGCGAGTCGTAACTTTGGACGCGTTCAATATTTTCGAATCGCGGCACTTTGCCGAGCGGTCCGGAGAAACTTATATATGTGATTTGTAGAGGCTGCTCCCGGGGGTTGGGGGTGGTGGATCGGATAAATCGACTTTGGTCAATTTTTTAACATTCGACGAACAATCGTAGCTCTCGTGGAGAGCTCTCGGCGCTTCCGATTGTATCTCTCGGCACGATTCCTCGCTGAAATATTGACTCCCGGCTATCGCTTCCATAAAGATTGTTATTAAATGAGGTAGATAGCGATGCACGAAATAGTATCTGTTTCGCATATTTATGAGAGATGAACAGTTGTTGTTTTCGCGATCGTAGGGCTTCTTTGCACACGCGCTAGAAGCAATTACACAGAATTAACATTTTAATATTTGTGTAAGGGAGTAGAATTTTATTTACGAAACAAAGTACCATTTCGACACGGATGGATTCGGCCGTCAGTGTACGTATCCCGTGGTACAAGTTTTTGTGCTCTGTCGGCAGCAGCGTGAAAGCCGATACATGTCCGCGGCTTGTATTTTGTATCGGCTTTCACGAATATCGGAGCGCCTCTCGTTGCTCGAAACTTGACGTTAACCGCAAATGGCTGGCAGATGCGAAGTTCCAGCATTCGCCATCCGGGACGGCGGAACAAAAGGAGCGGAGCGATGTAGAAAAGGACGATGGAACGAGGACGAATTTCCTACGGGCTAATGGGGCTCGTATTGCGTATCCCTTCAATCGAAAGTTCCCTACTGATCGTATCTCAAAGTATCGCGTACGACGTTTCTAAAGAATCGGTTTCTATAGACATCGCGATTTCTGTCGATGTGCCAGGAGATATTTAACATTCACAGTTATTTACAGAAGTGAAAATTGCGCATCGCTTCTCGAGTGAAATTTCACGTATTTATCGCATATTAATATTTCATGTATAGTCGATTTATCAATAATATTGTACAACATCTCTTCCAGCTGCGATATTGATCTATTTTTTCGTAGCTGGCATATTTCAATTGAAATTGCAATTCGATGGAAATTGATTACGATATTTTAACGGATTTTCACGGGGAAATCTAAAGTCAAATTTAATCGTTCGACGTTTAATAATATTTCGTCGGGCGGTCTTACCGAATCTTTCTCGCCGGTCAATTATCCGATCGTGCATTTTTACACGACGGCGGACAAATCTGTTGTCGTGATCCGTTCGAAATCTCACTAATCTGCCTCGCGTCCGGGTCGTCCTGGGATCTTCAACTTTGCGCGACGTGCGATTGGAATCGAATGGCTAATTTTAGGAAAGCGATAACCGAGTAAGCCTGGGAGTTGATGGGAGTTACGGGACACACTCGATCCGTTTAATTTCGGAGGCAATCAGAGAAAGAGGATAGGAATAGTACGTTGCCTCTATTTAACCGTCCGTCGATCCATCGCGCGTCCTCTCAGCTTCCTCTCGCTCCCTCTCGCTCTGTACACGTCAACCCCCCGTTTGGTCTCTCTCTGTATCAGCTGGGTGCCCATCCATCTGGTCTCTCTCTCCCTCTCTCTCTCTCGCGCTTCGGTCAAGCGGCACGAATGAAACGCTCGGCAACATGACGTTAATTCGTTTCTACGGCAAGACGTATGATGCTTCCGATAATGGCCTGCTTCGGTATTGCATCCGTTCATCGGTAGTGTTGTTGTTGTTGTTGCTATTATTGCTTTGTATCTCTATGACCTAAATTGCATGTACCGGACGAGAGAATACGCTTTTAGTCGTAGAATTCGGTTGATATTGATATATCTCGATGATAATTGATCTTGAATGAAAAGAAGACGATTTTATAGAACACCGAAAATAAATGTTTTTTCTGCGAAGGAAAATATGTAATCGCGCATGTTATACAACAAATATGGCAAATGAACGATTAAAATGCCAAACGAGTACAAATATTTGTTAAATAACATTTAAAATGCCGATCGGCCAATTTATTTTCTAAATGTTATTATTTAACAAATATTTGATATCTGATTATATGATATCTGATGTTAACTTGTGCTTGCGACATACATACATATACATCCATGTCTAGAATTACATAAATGAGGTATATAGGGTGGTCCAGTGGTTGACATTGAGTGGCAGTTAAATGTGCAAAGCCCGGAATAATTATCATACGTATTTCAATAAATGAGATTCACATGTGGTCATTTAATTATATTTAAACGTAACGTAATTAGCTAGATTATTTAAACGTTTGTTGTAATGCTCTTTAAATTATATTGTAATTGGAGCTTTATCCGAGCTGACGAATGATTTAAAGCATATATTATATTTGACGTGAAATTTTATCTCTTAATCACGCAGTCATTTTTGACAATTTTTATAGAAAATCTTCACGAGTAACACAGCTTTATAATAATGAATAAAATATCTTTTCCCTAAAAGAATATTTATTTCTTCAAGAATCGTTTAATCGCTGCAATGCATATTTTTGCCTGTTACGGTTGAATGGCATTAGGTGTATTCTTACCTCTAGCTTGAATTACGATCACCGGATGCACAACTTCAATCATTTGAGTGACATCAGGATACAGGCTCGTCTGATAATTACACTTTTAATTATACGGTCTGTTCCCTCTCGATGACATTGGAATCTTGAGGCTAAAGAAAATTTTCTAATTGATATTCGTATATCATATAATTGTTATACTCGCACACAAATAAAGCAATCGAAAATCGATAATGTGCATCGGATGCTTACAAAATTAGCAAAATTAAAAAAAGTTAGTATAACATTTTTATTATATATCCTTTACATGAACGAGAATGAACTACAGTGTATAATAATTATGATTTGCATATTAAAATATTATTAAATATAATATTAATTAATATGTTTCTCCTGTATGATTTACTAATACAATCTATTTTGTTTAATAAATTTACCTTGCCCGTCACTCGTTATTGCATCGTTAATAGCGGTTTATATATACTATCCGAATTCGAGATTGCTGCGATCGGCCCTGATTACTCCGAAAATTCCTGCTTATTACATTCGGGACATGACGAGGTATCCATTAATTTTGCTTTGCTAATGTTAAACGTAATCATTCTCTTGTTCTTCAAAGCGTTCAGAAATAATTTTAATTCTTAGAGGAAGGAAGTTTTAAAAACTTTAAAAATGGCAATTTTATTTACAATTGTTGTTAATATTTGTTATTACGTCCGAACTCGACAATATCGGTTTTAATACATTGATGGGAAGAGAAAAAAATACTTGTAAAACAGCATTGCCGAGCTTCGCGAACGACGGCCAATGGATAATTAATGGATAATAGAGGGACGTTTTTTTCTTTTTATAAACTAGGCCATAAAGTTAAGGGAGATTGCTCACAGTTGATTCGCTAATAATCGATCGGCATTGTTCATCGGGCTCGCGGTCAAAAGAAAACTTATTACGCTTATTAAAGCCGGCTTCCGGCCCAGTTGCAGGGCGGGAAGCGAGGGGGAAAGACTGTCGTCGGCTGTCACAAAAGAGCAACGTCGACGGCTAATTAGATAGAATAAGGTAATTCCACTTTTCAAGCGATAGAACAAAAACTAATCCGAAACCCGTTTTCTGCTTTTCTTTTCCAGGTGCGGAGGATGTGTTCAGGTTTACGGGCAACGAGACGCACACAGATTACTTTCGGCTGGTGCTCAGGGACGGGAACTATCTCCTGGTCGGCGGAAGGTAAATAGAGGATTCATTTGGAGCGAGTGCTTTAATTAAAGGGCCGCTTCTTCTTCTACTTCTTCTTATTCCTCTTTCCCTTAGTCCACCCTCGCTCCTACGTTTCCTCTTCGCCCTCTCGCCTATCCATCTCCCGGCGTATCATTGCATCGCTGTCCGCTCAAGCGTGCGAGATCGACGGTGATCTCAAGATAGATCGAAGTGTGTAATCCCTTCTATATATTCCATGTAAACTCGTTTTACCCCGTAAATTCAATACTCTTCCGCAAGTAACTTTTTTAATCCGGTTCGTTTGATTTTTCTCGTGATTAAAGTCGACCTGGAATGTAGTTGACATATTTCACAAATGGTAAAATAATGATTAAATCTTGTTGAATTAAATTTAATTGACATATTTCGTCCATGTGTAAAATAACGGTTAAATTGCTCCAAAAGTTAAAATTTTATATTTTGATTAGATTATATATTGCTTGTAAACATAAGCGTTAATACTATAGAATGAATAGAGCTTTGAAAACAGGAATAGCGATCGTAGAAATTAATTATAGGTATTGTTTCCTCCCATAGAATCTCTCTTGTTCAATAATTACGAATTTCCTGTTTGTAACAATATTGTTAATCGTATTACATACAAATTTCAAAATACATTATTAATCAATGTCGTCATGTACTAGCCGAAATTCTATTAAAATTTTATTTATAATATATATTTATGGGGGAGGGGGAAGGAGAAATAGAATTTATTTATAATATATATTATAGAAAAATCGCACACAATATATATTTAAATAAATATATATCTAAATATATACAAATATTTACACCTTAAAAGAGATTTGTATTATATGCGCACATTGCAATTATGTTTCATATTTGTTGAAGAGTGATAAATAAGTTAGCTCAATATACATAAGTAAATTATTGTACAGTAATGTATATTTGATAATGAGATAATTAATCACACCTCAAATATTATAGTAGGATAGGTTATATTATCTGTTACTGTTAGGCCATATTCAGTTGATCACCGACGATTAAACTTTCGAATCTCTATCTTATCAACAATAAAACATGAAAAATGAATGTTTTCCGATTCATTTTCGTATAAATTTTCTTTATGAAACATTTCATTTCACATAAAAAGAAAAATGAGCGTAATTAAGTACATCAAGGGACAAACGTGTATAATCGTATCAACATTTAATCGATACAATGTAAAATAATTGCAGATACAAATCGCGCGATTGTAAATGTATAAATTGTACGTGTATAAATGTGGCCTTTTTGATTCGTCATTAGGGCATGTATTCAGACGATTCGATTGTACGTACCCCGGGTACCGATCGATTAACGCGCTTTCTTCCTATTCCTCCTCTCTCGGATTCTCGGGTCTCGGTATACAGGATAAATCTATTCACGTCTCGTGTACGCTGAATGCGCGCTGTTCCAACACTGAAATCAGTCGGCGACGATAATCAGGTCGTACATGGATTAAATGCATTGTGCGTGAATGAACTCTGATATATATCTCGTTCGTTATTGATCGGATTACGCTAATAGCTCGGCCGATTTGCCAGCATCCCGTGCACACGCTGTATCGATACGAAAATTTGTTTCTTGCTCGTTATACATGACACGGGGTTATATTACGGAAGTGTATAATCGCAGGATGCCTCGAATGATTATTCCGCGGTCGGCAAAAGCCGCGATCTCGTGCAATAACGAACGCGAAGAGAGAGAGAGAGAGAGAGAGAGAGAGAGAGAGAGAGAGAGAGAGAGAGAGAGAGAAAGAGTGAGTACGAGAGAGAGAGAGAGAGAGATTCTTCCTCTTTAAAATGCTTCTAAGCATACTGCAGGCTACTTAACGAAGAAGAGTTAACGATCGATTGCTGAAACTTCAAGCGCTGCTTTCTCGGCTAAAGCCTAGCTAATCAGAGAGCCTTGCTTCGCTGTTCATGTCTGCTTTAAGTATTTAACTTTGCAACTTAAAGAAACCTCTTTCCTCCATGCACTGTATTAGAATTCTCTGATACTTGTTACAATAACTTGTGAAAATAACATCTTTCCTCGTATATTATAATTTAAAATTTTAATAATAACTCGAAAAAATTTTATACATGCATACGTATATAAAATTCTGAATTCTGTTTTTTTATTTTTTATTCTTTCATTAAATGTTTCGTTAACATTATGAAAAAATTAAATATAGAAAAGCTCTTGTTATACATGCTATGCACATATTTTATTTATTTTTTTTCAGAGATTTTTATAAATTATACGTAATAGTTTTGAATTACTAGTTTAAAAAAACAAATTTTGTACGGCTGTCAATTTAATACCAAGATACATTGTACTGTATTATTACTCGGAAGCTTTATTTTTTTAATTACACTTTTATCATAGAAAGAGTTTCTCTCTCTCTCTCTCTCTCTCTCTCTCTCTCTCTCTCTCTCTCTCTCTCTTCAACTACTTAAAACACATTCACAATTTTCGTAAAAGATTTCTATCACTCAATCGGGACTCGTATAATTTCGTTTCAGGAATCTCGTACATAATCTCAGTTTAACCGATCTGACGGAGCAGCAGAGGCTGACCTGGTACTCGACGGAGACCGACGTGAAGATGTGCGTCGTCAAGGGCACGCCTGAGGAAAACTGCCAGAATTACATTCGCATCTTGGTGAAGACCGGATCGAACAATTTGTTCGTGTGCGCCACCAACGCCTTCAAGCCTATGTGTCGTGATTACACGGTGCACGCGGGCAACTACACGATGATGAAGGAGAAGGGCGGTCAGGCGAGGTGCCCATACGACCCGCAGCATAACAGCACTTTCGTTTACGTCGACGGTGAACTCTACACCGGCACAGTCGCCGATTTCGCCGGCATGGACCCGATCATCTACAGAGAACCGCTGCAGACCGAGCAGTACGATTCGATGAGTCTGAATGGTGAGTGAGAAAGCTAATTCAATCGCCAATCCTCGTGGGCCGTGATTGATGATGCTTAATGATCGCGTACCGCTGATTTACATTGAAAGTCGGCGCTTAACTCTGATCGCAACTCTGGATATCAATTTTCATTTTCATAGCGCGCTTTTGCCATTAATTCGACATGGCGACAAGTGCGGTTCGCGAAGTCGATAGTTAACGATCGCAACTCTGAATATTAATTTTCATCAAACTGTAGACTCTCTCATTAATGCGGCAGCCTAAAGTATATAAAATGCAACAATGTTATTTAAAAAATGTAATAATTTCTAATGTCATTTTATAAAATTAAGATTTACTTGGAAGAAGGGTCTGAAATAAACATTTTGTCCTATTGTTTATAGGACAAAATGTTTATTAATTTTACTTATTCATCACATTTCGTCACATTTTCTAAAATGAGAGTATTGAGGACAAAATTATTTACGATTTTAAGAGCACAATTGGATCAAACTAATAACTGATCATCTATATTCGACGGCTTACAATCAGAAATGTGATAATTTGTGTATTAATTCAATTATTACTTTTGAATCGCGAGAAAATGTTGTAACGGATCTATTAATCGTATCATCTAAAAATTGATGTTTCTGTGTTGACATTTAATGCGGCGGTTCTGTACGAATTTTGGATTTTCTTAATAATAAGATAACAGTTGCATTCATCGAAAATATCTATGTAAATTTACACAAAAGTCGATCGAGATTACTATTATATATATAAATTTCGGTAACTTTATTTATGTATTCAAAATTTAATTTAAAAAGAGAAAAATATCGCCCCGATATTTTTCTTGTCTACATCTCTCCAGGGGAGTAAAGGGGATGTTATAGAAGTCTCAAACTAGGAGAATCTATAACTTGGCATATATGTATATGTCTTAAAAATTTTTTCGCGAACAATTAATGTTCGAAAAAATTTACGCATTACCATCCGCGTTTTTTAGGCTCTTATTGCTCGTTTCTTAATTATCATGTTGTTAATTAAAAAAGTTTGAAATAGTAATGGATTAGCCAATATCGTATAAAAATAATCAATAAATCAGTAGAAATTTTCTACGAAAAGATATCGAAAGATTCTCGAATAAAGCAAATAAAAGTACAAAATTCAAAATTCAAAAATACAAAATTTTTATTGAACATGCACAACTCACATTTCATAATTTGTTTGTCAAATTGCCATCAAGGCGACTATTATATCTCATTATCGTTCTCATGCAGCTTTAATCACGTCGTTTTATCGCGCTCACCAACTTCAGGAATTATCGTATTAATATTCCGGCACAACATAATTATTATCCATTATCGACCTCGTTACACTGCCGTCAAACCTCGTGATACCTCTCAGCCGGAAGGTAAACGTGTGTCTGAATGTTTGAGAGTCACGCGGCGGCGCCCGCATAATACATATCCGTGTCCATTAAAGTTCAACTGCGAGTTCGATTCAATATTTACACGAAGTTTCGGCTTCTGGCGCACCGGGCCGACTTTGAAAATCCGACGTGCGCACCGGGAAATTATTCACAAATGTCATGCGATCGAATCGCGACCGCGAGCGTGATTCTTTCTCCCTTTCTTCCAATGATATGTCTCTAATCCACACGTGTAATTCCGAGATTAATTACGTGTGTATATAATTCTCTAAGCTCTCTCTCTCTCTTCCCTCTCCTCCCGCACGCTTGGTCCAAGATTATTTCACGGATATTCCAAACTCGTGTAATGAAGGCGCAACGTCCTCTTGTCGTATCCATCGCCTCGAAATTTACCCTCAAGTTCGTAATACTCTTCCGTTGCATTGCAATACAAATACCGAGCACAAGAGAAGCATGACTTTTAAATGCCATCGGTTTTCTCATGTCTGAATAGAATGCTCACAGTTTATTTTTGCATATTTTTTCAATATAATGTGTCGAACGTTTCTTTTTTCTTAACTAAAACACTTGAATTAACAGATTTTTATCTTTCTGAAAGATCTCACGCTGATACACGATATGATTTCTACGATTATTTCCGCATCTTTGTTCGTCCGACATTAGAGTTCATATATTCGCTTGCTTGTACAGAAAACTCTTCTTCTTCCTTTGTGGATTTAATAAATTAAAAACTGGTTTTCTCAACGTTATATGTATATAGTGTATTGTACGAAACTTCAAAGTACCGTCTTCTCGTCGTGGCGTTAAAATTGATACGTCACTTTGCTCGAGGCGGAGACGGCGGGGACCTTCGGGGTCCGCTAGGGTATTTTAATTGAACGGTGTACGAGAGCGCTAATCAAGTTTCTCCACCCGTTGGACAATATTGATTTTCTCTCCGTCCGTCGAAAATTCAATTCTATCCCGCCGCTCGTCCTACCCACCCCGTTCCTCCGACAAATCGCGAATCGAAAATCTCCGGACGATTGGCTCCAGATGAGACGCGGACTTGATGACGCGCGTGACATCTAGGGAAGCATATTTTTCTAATCGATCGCGGACGAAAGGTGAAACCGGAAGAGCGAAGGTAGCGTTTTCTCTTTCGAGAAAGTCCCTACCGTGAATTTTCTGCAGCACTTTGTCTCGACGACGGTGCAGTTAAATGCGACATGGGTCGCAAGGCGGGAAGGAAGGAAGCGAGGAAGGAAGGAAACGAACCGGCGGCGACAGATAGAGAGAGAGAGAGAAAGAGAGAGGAACATAGAGTAAGAGAGCTGAAGGAGAACTCTCTCGCCAAGGGGTTGGGTAAAACGAGGAGAATTTATGGGGCGGAGAGCGACGGGTCGTTCGGATATATCTACGTGGCACGGCGAGATTAATATTACTTTATGAATCCTAAGAAGCTTATGAAAACCCTGTCAAGTTAATAAATCGATAAAGTTTTCCCACTTTATCGGGCGGCCGACCGAGACGGCGGAACCGCGACGTGGCGGCGGCAACGCTTTACCGGGCGACGGCGTTGAAATAACCGAGAGAGAAAATAAAAGGGCCCTTTATATACGCGTAGCTGGCTTATTGACGATGGAAGTTACCCGGAGTACGCGTGTACCGAGTGTCGCGTATGTACGATGCCGCGCCATCAATGATGGGGAAACGTCTCGTTGTGTAACTTAAATTTTCGCGTCCGAGTCGTAAACTCTTCTCCGCGCGTTTTGATTCACTCTCGCATTTCGCGTTCATTATTTTATATCGGTAAAGCGATCAGCACAAGTGTCGCGCATAATTCTCGAGCATTAATAACGGACTAATATGTCGTTTGTCAACGTGAATGTCTTGATGCGCTTAACTCGTCGTAATTGCGTTAAATTAATTACCGCGATTATTCCGAAATTAATTGTACAATCAAGCTAAGCTTGATATTAACGAATGTTAACATAAATAACCGTACCAACGTCGTCATTAACTTCTCGAGCCATTCGAAGGCGCAAGAATTAATGTTCACCGAGCAGTCTCGAGTAGAAATGAGAGTTTTTAAATAAATCGCGTCGAGATTTTCCTCCTTATTTTCAGGATACTGTATGAGCGTTGTCTGCTTTATTACACACCATCGATTGCGTTCCAGTAGGTGGTTATTACGTTCATTTATTTATAAAGGGAATTTATGGGGCCATTTACTATCTTCGCACGCGGTGGCAATAGTAGTTAGTAATAATGGTTACATATTCTAATTGCAGCACCCAACTTTGTGAACTCCATGTCTCAAGGAGATTTCGTCTACTTCTTCTTCAGAGAGACTGCTGTAGAATATATCAATTGCGGCAAGGTAAGAAATCGTCGGCGATTAATATCGCATGTCTCCTTTTTTTTTGATACATTTTGAAAAGAGAAAAATCACTTGTACATTATACTTATTATTATGCGAGGAACGTATCCAAAAATTCCAGCTTTCATGGAATATGATAAACGCAGTGAAATATAATGATAGTAATAATCGATCTGTAATTAAGAGAAGCGACACTAGCTTAAATAGCTTAAATAGATTCACTGAAAATTAAATTTATTTAATTATTTAAGTAGCGATTTAAATGTCATTAGTTTCATCTTTCATTGCACCACTTTTGCGGCTAAAATTTAACGCGCGCTGTCTAAAATTATATATATATATATCATCCCGATGATCGGAATTTGACGATAAAAGCTCGCTCGTGACCATAAAAGTCGCGATATTTTCCTCGCCGAATTAGCGTACGGTCAACGGATAACAATGGGGTAGAAGAGAATCGCAGTCGCGCGGATAAGATTAACTTTCGCGTCGGAGTCGGATATAATACGCACAAAAGTTTCGCGAAAGTTCGTAGCCGCGCTGTTATTCTGCCCGGTCGATTTTTAACGTCCAAGTAAGACGATTACGTTTCTTTCGCCCGTCGTTTCGCATTGAAAATCGGCTTTTAGAGGCGCGTCACTTCCTTCTCCCTTACACAAAGACGCGCTTGTTCTCGCGGACGCGACGCGCTGCGCACGCAACGAAAAGTTGCGGACGTTGGACTCATCGTGGCTTAAATCAGACTCTCGACTTATTGTCAAAGGCTGCACTCGGATCCGAGCTTTCCGTACCCTCTGATAATGACGCATAATTTTATGTGACGAAGCGAAAGATAAATCCGGGCAGATTCCAGACGGGAGGAAAAGTTGGAACCCGACGTATTACGAGTAAAGATTGCGATTTCTCTCCTCTCTGGCGCAGCGAGTGTCCCGGAGAAATTTTATATGCGATTCGGAGAATAAATTTATAATCTCGGCGGAGCCGAGTAAAATAATTTATTTCGAAATCGCGAACGCTCGCGCGTTTCATTTCTTTTTTTCTTCGTTTTACATTCGTTTATATATTCCTCGCGAAATATTCCTTCTATTTTAATTATGGATACGCGATAAATTCTTCCCTAAATCGCTAGCGTCGTGTTTTATCTCCTTTACGTGACCCGGGACATCTAGCGAATTATATTTTCTCGAAAATTTTGGAAGCTACAATATTTTGTTTGTTTCACAACCTTTCACGGGACGCTTTGTTGCTGTTGAGAACGTGCGTGTCACTTTAATTACGCGCATAAAAACTAAAAGGGTTGCCTCGTCTCTCCTTTTTTCTCTCTCCCCTGACATATTTTTTTAAAATAAAATTTCCTTATTTCACATTATTCACAGTGTAATTTACCACGATGGCGATCTTTACATTCGCAGGCCGTGTACTCTCGCGTAGCACGAGTCTGTAAATACGACCGAGGTGGACCGCATCGTTTCCGTAACAGGTGGACGTCCTTCCTGAAGTCGCGTCTCAATTGTTCCGTTACCGGAGACTTCCCATTTTACTTTAATGAGATACGTAAGTAAACAGATGCACGTTTACGCAATGAATCACGTGAGCTCTTTAATCTATCACTCCATCCGAGCATAGTAGATATGCAAATTCACTTTGCTGTATAATCGATAAAAGAATCTTGATTTATCGCATCATATTGATAAATCATTGATATCTCTATTTATTCATACACCTTTCTTTTATCGAGTTAGCTGTTTAATTCACTTAAACTTGGTTCGCAGAAATTCTTTCAATTTTCATATCCTATTTAATAATTATATTGATTTTTATATTAAAATTTTTCAATTCAAGAAATCTCTAGCTTGATATTTATTTTAATAGAAACGTTCGGGTGCTATTCTTAGAAAGAATTCATGTGTGGATATTAGATTAAACCACTACACGACCATGGAGAATACGTTCTTCTCCAAGTAATTTGAAGACTATCTCGATTGCAGAGTCAACGACCGAGTTAATATCGGGTCAGTACGGCGGAACATCGGCGCAACTCATCTACGGCACATTTACGACGCCGGTGAACAGCATAAGCGGTTCGGCAGTGTGCGCCTTCTCGCTGCAGGATATCGCCGATACCTTCGCCGGTAATTTCAAAGAACAGAGCGCCATGAACTCCAACTGGCTGCCGGTGCAGGACACGAAAGTACCGGATCCGCGACCCGGGCAGTGCACCAACGACTCGCGCACGTTGCCGGATCTGACACTCAACTTTATCAATACGCATTCGTTGATGGACGAATCGGTGCCAAGCTTCTTTGGTCAGCCGATCGTTATACGCACCAGTTTCCAGTAAGTTAAAATCACTCGAGCAATCTCGGATCAAAATTCAATTTGAACGCAAATGACGTGCACGTTTAGAATTTTGTCCTTGCATTTATCATCGCTGCATTTATTATGTTGTTATATCTTCGGCGTTGTAGACATTTTTATTGGCTTATTGTTTTTCTTTCATGCAGCGAAACGCAACAAGTAAATTATAACATAAATTGATCGCTTATTCGGGGTGTTTATTCCCTGAAAAAACTGAATTTCTCTTCATTGAAATAAAAATAGCATTTTATTGAGATAAAAAAAATTTGATCTTGAAATTTTACTCTTATTTTGTAAATAGTTGAAAAGGGTGAATTATTCGTTTAAAATATATAAATATATTTATCTCTATTTTTATATTCAATGTTTAAATTCAATGTTTTAACAAAATATTGAATATGCAATATATATTTTTTATTATACTTTTTTATTGATTCAAAAAAATGAAAATATTATGCAAGTGAAAAAGATGTTTATGTTATGAAAGTTATTCAGTTTTTTCAGTACATTTATAAATCTAATACTTGAAACTTAAAAGGTTCCACATTTTTTTTCGTATGATTGAAAAGTATTAGAAAATGCCTACAATGAAAAGATTTAATTTAGAAAGTTGCATTAAAATAATTTGAAAATCTTAGAATGTTGAACAAAAATACCTCAAATAATTTTTTTAAATATGAAGACACATTCGTGTCGATGTTACAGATTATTTCGATAACGTATTTTTATCCTATCTTAGTTACAGGTTCACTCAGATTGCTGTGGATCCTCAAGTGAAAACTCCGGGCGGCAAGACTTATGACGTTCTCTTTATCGGCACGGACAACGGCAAAGTGATCAAGGCGGTAAATGCCGAATCCGCTGATTCTCATCAGAAAGTCAGTCCGGTTGTGATCGAGGAAATACAAGCTTTCCCGCAAACGGTGCCGGTTCGCGGAATCAAGGTAGTCCGAGCCTCGCAGGCAGGCGACGGGCTCGAGGATGGTCGATTGGTCGTCATCGCCGACAGTCAAGTGCAAGCGCTAAGACTCCATCGATGCTACAGCGACAGGATATTATCCTGCAGTGAGTGCGTCGCCCTACAGGATCCTTATTGCGCCTGGGATAAGGTGGAGGGCAAGTGCAGGGCGTTGGTGGGCCCGGCATCGACAGATGCTAACAGATTCCTGCAAAGCGTTGCGACAGGAACACATACATCCTGCCCACCTGGCAAGAGTCTCAACAAGGATGCCGGAAGCGTTGGCGCTATATCCGCCAACAATAACAAGTTCCCACAGGATTCGATACCAAACAAAGACAATCCGGGCGGTGAAATTATCAATATCATGCAGGACGAGGAACAAGACAATTCAGGTACCCTTTATTTATATACGACTTGTGTAAATTCAGTTTTCTTTTCTACATATTTGAATTGATATTCTATTATTTGCAGGTCCGGAAGTATCCGCAGCTGACACACCTCCTCCACAATACTCTGTGGAAACTCTAGTGATGGCTGTGGTGGCCGGTGCATTAGCCGCGTTGTTTGTTGGTTTTGTGGCCGGTTATTTGTGTGGCAGAAAGTGCAGGAAAGACGAGGACGACAATCTACCCTATCCAGACACGGAATATGAATATTTTGAACAACGACAAAACGTGAATAGGTAGGATATTCATTTCGATGTTAAAAAACCGATCTCTGCGGAGGAATAATTTTTCAATTTGCCGCTCTTAGTAATGTTTGCCTATCCACATTTAGCAGATTGGCGCCCGAGCCAAAGCTGTTACCGCAGGAAGAGGTGACCTATGCGGAGCCGGTGCTGGTTCCGCAACCACCGAAGCTTCAATCTCCGAAAGGTACCATGAGGAAACCACCGCCGACGCCCACGGAGACTCTCTTTCAATTTCCGGACGGTTACGGTTTCCGCGGGGGACCGCGCGGCGACAATTTTGGCACTCTGCGCTCCCATCAAGGCGATGCGTATCGCCGCACCGATGGCTTTGCGACCACGCGCAGCGTCAAAAAGGTTTATCTCTGAGAAACGAGCGAGGAGGGGGGTGGCCGTCACCGGAGCCTAGGACGGCCAGCGCGCAATCGCCACAACGCGACGTCGGCCAGCAGAAGTAGTCGCGCTGTGACGTCCGGGGGACAGTCAAATCGTGAGCTCGCCGGTCCGAGGGCATTGGAATCGCCCTCGCCATCGTCGAGCGTATCATCGAGTTCCCCGTCCCCTCCCTCCTCGTCACCCTCGCCCACCCTCGTACCGATTGCCATGAGCGGTCAACAGCCACCGCCGCCACCAACACCACCCTGCAGTTTCATCTATCGATCATAGTCGTCGTCGTCATCGTCGTCGTCGCCGCCATCGTCGTCGTCGTCGTCATCACCATCATCGCCGTCATCACGATGGTCGTCATATTCTGCTTTCTGCTCGATGACGCGAGGGGATGAGAGAGAGAAAGCGTTCTACAGTCCTAGCGCGTTATTCCGAAATGTATAAATTGAATAATCAAGAGAATAATTTCCTGATCAGAAATGTCGCATTACTTCAATGGATGTTGCGGTATGTTTCTTTTATATTCAATCTTTTTATTTCTGTTTGTGATTTTTATTTCGACACTGATATTTGTTTTGATAATTAACGAAGAGTTGAAATATTGAAGTTTCGCGTCGATCGAGTCTACATGTCGTTTGTTTGTACTATAACAGAAATCAAGAGATCAAGGAAATTATTTTAGGAATCGGTTGTTTATCGCATTCAGAAACGTCGAATCGAGCAATTTTGTGCATAGGGCAGTTTATTTTTGCCCATTTACGTATCATTATAAGTAATATCATAATACAGCATTTCATAATTCTCATAATAGAAACGACATTCCAACCGGAAACGTGGACGTTACGGTGGACATTACGTTTGATCAATAACTTGATTATCCATGCATGTTGAAGAATAAGTAAGGCAAACGCAAACATTTTAGCATATAGCGATTGTCGATTATCTTAGATCTTTAGCACTAATTCGCAAAAGAATGAGCAAGTAGAATAAAGAAGAAAAGAAAAAAAATTCTACGATTATCGATGCTCGAACGTATAAAAACTCGAGTAAAGTTTGGTAATTAGGCTCGATTGACAAAATAGTGCGAACGTTACGCGGCGGTTCGCAACAAAATGTCGTAATCTCCACTATTTTATTAATTGACAGTTAATATCAAAGTCGATATGTGTAATTGTAAAGCTACACAACATAGTACTATGATGAGGCTTTTTTCATAAAGTCAATTAAAGGAGACTATCCGCAAGCTCGAAACACGCAATTTTTCTAACGTTGTAATATTTAATACGAGTGATTGATAGTGCCATTATAGATCACGTAACACTTCTGCGTGCCTCGAAATTAAAGACGATCATGATGATTATCGACGTTTGTTGGCCAAATGTTTTTCGCGATTGGCCAAATGGAGATTAATGCATTTAATTAATTGTATATAATAACATCTCTATCTTTATACTTGTTCTTTTATCTGTCTTATTTTATTTTGTAATTTTGTAACTTTGTTATGTATTTTATTTGTAACATATTTAATATATATTGAATATACATATATTATTTTATAAATTGTATGTATAAGATACGTTTATATACCACTTTATGAAAAAGATACGTTTATATATCACTTTATGAAAATTATTACATTCCAAGTTTTACTCGGACATGATAAAGTAATTTTTAAAAGTGTTAGTAAAAATTCGCAATTTTTAAATGCAATTCATTCATCTTAATGTTTTCTTTTTCGTAATATTTTGTTATCGTATTAATCAGAAATCTGAATCATAAAATCGTGGAGATTGCTATATTGCGTGAATTAAGGATGCGTTAATTGATGTATCCAATGATAGCAGTTAACAAATACAGACTATGTTGCTGCTGTCTATAATATACGTTAAAGTAGTCGTCGTGCGCGCGCGGAAAACGATACTAACTTCTAGTTTCTCGTTTGTGAATGTCGGTTCATCTAGTTCTGTGTACGCTTCGGAGACGCGCGTTCTCAACGCCTGCACATATACGTAATAGAGAGCGAGAGAAAGAGAGTGGAAGAAAAAAAGTGAGGCACAGCGCTTATATGTACATAATACATATATAAAAAAGCATATACATCAATTAGGAGTTAAAAAGAAAAAGAAAACGAAAACGAAATGAAAATCAGTCCATCTAACCTGGGCCCGATGGTGTAAGTAAGTAGACATCTATCTTAAAGTGCTTCTTATTTCGGTGTGTTTAGAAATAAACGTGTATGTGATATATTCTATATGAGATGCTTTCCGAGCATCGGAGGATAGGAGAGACGTGGAGAGGGTTTTTGATTCAGGGGCTCTCTCGACGGATCTGAGACGAGACAAGCGCAGTGATAAAACTCACGGTCTTTTGTTCACAAGAATTCGTCGCTATGCTTTGTATAAATAATGTTTTCGTACGATTTCTCGTATCTGTTTTACGCATATGTACGGTTATACCAAGCTCTCATCGACATCTCGGTCCCCTGCAATTCCACGGTGTCGCGAAAAATCTCTACATTCCAGCAGATTGTCTTTCATCAATCGTGGAATTTTGTGAACAATCGAACCTGAACTCTTTGACACGCACACAATTACACAAGTACACGGATACAGACTATTACAGGTTGTAAAATTTTTGTAAATTCTATTATTGCCTCTTTTTTTTTTAAATAATCATTAAATTTTACTTAATTCATATTAATTTAACGTTAAAATATATCTGGAGAGCTCGTCGAAAAATCATCCCTTAAACCGTAAGACTGAACAAATCCCCTAATGGCGAATCTCAATATTTCTCCTTTTCTTATCAATTTTATCAAATTTTTATACAATCGGCATGGATGAGAAGCATTTTCTTTCTTTGGCGATATACGTAGAGACATTTTGATCAAACTTTTTTAAGTGTGTGTGTTTCCCGTTCCAAGCACAAATTATTCTTTATGCTTCGTCCAGAAGCTAACGGAATTTTATCAAAGTCGCAAAAAGCAAATTATTAACTCTCTGCTGTTAACAATCGATAATCTTTTTCAGCGCGAGATCCGTAAAATGAAAACAGCGATATGAACATACCTATAATATCATTGTTCTAATGACTGTCAAACAATACGTTGAAAATTGTTGTTGGAATATCTAAACTGCCATGTGGCACACTGTAATCGTAGGATAAAATCGATACTTTGTGCTTGAAACAAGTAGCGATAGCAGAAACATGAACTCACACAAGACACTTCCATGTGGTTTTCCACGTGGTTCGAAGCTGCCATATAATCGATCCGACACTCATTGTCGTCTCGCAGGTACGTTTAATTATCTCTCGGGAGCTAAGTAGCGTTTCTAATGGCTTATTTCGCATCGCGCGAACGATAAATTTTGTTCTAAGTTTAATACGACACGTACCGAGTAAGGTGTTTTAATAATTGTTTAGTGATTTTTTTTTGTAAACGGAAGACTCAGGCATGATACCAAAGATATTAATTGTAAACTAAACATCGTTGGTCACACATTGTGATGGTTAATCGTTCGAGAAGGCGCACAAAATGGTATTCATTAACGATAGGAAGGTGGTCCCCTTGCACATATGTAGACTTGAACACGGTTATACAGGAACACGCGCACGCATACGCGACACGCGAATCTGACACAAGAGAAGTACACGTGTAAGGATGTTCACCTTATTAGCGAGTTTTAATAATCATGTTGATGAGACATACTAGTTGGGAGACACTCGCGATATTAAGATCGTAGAACTCTACTGAACTACTGAACTAACTAGAAATAAACGTTGGAATCAAGTAATGCATGAAAGACAGCGTTTGTGCATCACGAAATATTTTTCAAAAGAGAACGAAAGAAAAGAAAAGAGTTTGTCTGTCTGTCTGTATGTGTATATGTGTGTATGCATGTGTATGCGTATATGTATATTGCGTATGTGTGCGTGTGTTTGGGTATACCTGGTGAGCGGCAGAATGAACGACAGGAAGAGAGAGAAAGATAATGAGACGTAGCGATAGCTCGGTGTTCAAAAAAAAAAAAAGTCAGAAATCTAATAAGCTTACGATATTGCTATCGAGCGTTGATGCTTTAATAAAAGAAAAATAAATAAAAAGACGAAGATTTGTAAAAAAGAAAACGTGTTCAAGGAGCTCGTAAAACGTTCATGTTGTTTAAGCCAATAAGGAACGGATTCCATCCAAGACAATGACGCGATCGAATCAAGACGATTTGAGCGATTCTCGATTCCGTATAAATGAGTTCGTTTGTTCGGCATTGTTATAACGGGGACGAGGTGTAAAGAACGTTATTCGATTATAAGCTTCGCGTGATTTGCGTTTAACGAATATCGCGGAAGACGTAACAATGTGTTTCATGCATTATTTCATTTCAATCTCTCGAATCCGTGCGAGTTATTTGTCTGTATATTTAACGGAAACGAGTTTAGCCAGTTACTTATAAATTGAGAAAGAGAGAGAGACATGAATTTTAGAAAACCACAAGATATCTTCTTGATTAAAGGGGGATCGGATAAGTATGCATGACAGATGCGATTCGCGCGAGGATGTGGAAGCTAGAGATAAGTAGAAGATTAGTAATATGGTACACACATACGTATAAATATATAAATATATAAATAAATATAAATAAATAAATGAGTATATATATATAAATAAATATATATATATATATATATATATAGAACGCTTGAAACGTATATATATTAATGATATTATAACTTTTTATAAATATATTTTTCCGTCGAAGTCTAGCCTAGTTGATACATACACAGTTACGACTATTAATTTATCCGATCTGATTATTATCGAGATCTAGCGTTAATTCGGACATCTTAGGCGTCATAGTTTTACATGATAGGCGAGTTGTACGAATTGTAAGTCACTTAATGAGAGAGCAGGAGAGAATTAGTACCTAATGTTAAACAAATTTACTACTAGCGTTGAATATCCGAAACGGGAGTCTTCTTCTCTTCGCGGTCATCTCCCCATTCTCCCTCCCCACCCGTTTCCCTCCCCTCGCCCTTCAATTTCCAGCCGTCGGAGGATTTCGCCGATCAGACGTTCCATTTAAAGTGTAGCATACCATAAGAGAGGAAAGAGTATATATATATACATATATAATATATATATAGATATGTGTATATGTAAGAGTCGAGAGAAAAAAAGAGAGGACATTGTATTTTTCGAAATTCGCGTTTCATCGAAAACTCCATTGCCACGACGGCCAAAATCTCGCGACTGTTAATCATTAAAAACGCGACAACCGACCGCGGAGGAATGGGATTCCCGTTTCGCGCTTTGTAATTAAGGAATGAGAAGGAGTGCAGAATCGATGAAAAAAAAAAAACGGGCGATGGGGGATGACTGTATTCATCGTTCTCGCCCCCCCCCCTCCGCCCCCACCCCTGGCGTGCGTTCACAGTTTGACAAGCGTGAGAAAGAGTGTCGATGTTTTTTTCCGACGGGGGATGTACTGGACGCGCCGGCCCCCTTCCCCCCCCCCCCTACACACATGACATTGTAAAATGAGCGAGCACTAATAATAATAGTAATATTAATAATAATAACAATATGATAATTAATACTTAAGAGTAATCATAATGATGTAATAACAATATTGCGATACCAGAAGATTTTTAAAGAAAAAAAAAAACACTATAGCATTTATCAACGATAAAATAACGAGAATGTAACATGTATTTTGCTTCTTCCTAATACAGTGCCGTTTACGCTATTTTTTACTGTAACTAACTAGAAGCTCGGCGTGCGAAGTGTGCGTCCCGATGGAGGCGATCGCTCGGCAAGCATGCGCTACTTTAAAAAGCCGATCTTGTATATTTAATCGGCCATGTGTATCCTTAAAGTAACCGTTCGCGAAAAGGCGCCCAAATGTGTGACTCTGGTACACTCTCGTTTATATTTCGTATCGTCGCCGTGGTTGTCGTCGTCGTTATTTCCGGCGGCATCGGCCGACGAACGAAGAGAATTCTCTCTTCAGACACGCATCAGAAGGCGAGGAGAAGAAACACCGCGAGTGCGAAGTGTGCGTGTAACGTGCGTTTGTCGGCTCACTTGGATCGAGATATGCGTGTACATTCTCGCGGTTCCTCTTTGTTAAGATGAAATCGTCGTTCAACGATTAGTCTCGATCAGTCGCGTTCGTCCGGAGGTGGTCATTTGCCGGAAGTTCGATCGAGTCGAATTTACTGCCGTGAGATTTTTCATTGTCGTGTACATTTAATATCGTCACGTGGTGTATCGGGTATGATATACCTTCCTCGACCTGGTGAATATCCGGCGAATCGACACACGCATCCGGGAATCACATGTTCGGATCTCGCGAGCGTCACGATTGCGTTCGCCGCACGCTACTCGTTATCCAATCGTATGTTATTACTCTTGTATTACTCGTTATAGACGCGTTCACATGTCGTGCCGTTTGCGAGATCGGTGGT